ATGGCAATTTCCCAGAGAAATCAGGCGGCACTCAGAGAGGTGGAGAGATTTAATTGTCCCATTGGCAGGATCAGTGGGATAGCTCCCAAAAGTCTGATCCCCAAATTGCAGGAATGGTAAGGTTTTACACAGTTTGTAAGAGGAAGCTTGTCACCCCACCCATCATAGACTTTCTTTATTGTTTGGGAAGGGGATCAAGGTAGCCGTGGCTACTACTATGGGCAAGCAGCAGCAGCACACTGCAGGAACTTTCCGCTCCAGCAAGCAGCAGACTTAGCAACTTCCTGCTTCAATTTTTCTGCCTTATCAATCTGGGAAAGGGTAGAGAAAGGGCATTTCTTTAAATACCACAGATTCATACCTTTCTTACCGAATTTTTAATTTAAATGAAATGTTGTGCAGATGTTTCTTTATTTGCTATCTGTCATTAGGACCATTCCCAGGGGTTTTAAGTGGTTATTTTAAAATAATTTTCACCAGATTCACTGAGGAATGGGTTAGTGGAGCATGTCACATTGTCCTGTGAATTTGATCTCAATTTTCCCTGTTTTTATAACCCAATATAGGTGAGGGTCTTACAGGAAGTAAGTTGTGTACTCGTGCCATAACAACTCAGTATCAAGAGCCATTGCTTAAATTTCCTCATTAAATCCCTGCTGGTAGGCATGCTGCTTTACACAAAGTGCTCATAGTGTCTCTTGCCACTGATACTGATGTCCCAGCAAGAACTGTCTTGAGAATCCTTAAAATAGGGAGGAAGGGCATTAACAGCTACACACTAGTAAAGCACAAGTGGTGAGCGCTGGAACCAATTCCATCACTTTCCAAGTGACTTTTCAACTGAAAAAAATGTGACTAATCAGATAAAGTTGTGAAAGTTAAATAACATGCAAAGCATTTAGTATGCATAATAAATACCAGTTAATATTTAAGACATTGCTAAGCACTGTTGCATATTCCCATATCATTTCATTTCCACCTCACAATCCTGCAGAAATAGTTGTTAGTATCATTATTTGATGCGTGAGTGTTGTGCAAGACCGGGTAGGTTCGTTGTCGATTCTCACAGATTAAAAGAGAATTCTGGAGCCCTTGGTATCATTTTACAGGTCTTTAATGCTGAATCAGGGGACAGGCCAGCAGTGAAGAGATAGCAATTGAGCCGACTAGCATCAGATAGATGCTGCTGTGATCGCCAAAACTGAAGAGCCCCTTTAAGCCCTCACTTCTGGGCATATGTCTGTATTTGCGTATGCATGTACCCCATGCTCTGTGGGCCCAGGTGTCCATAATCAAAGGTGCACCTGCCCTGAGCCCACACCTCTCGGCCCAGGGTATCTGCAACCTAGGAGGAGTGAGAGACCACAGGTGCTGGCCATAGAGGCTAGCGGTAAGAAGGCAGGGGTTGGGGCAGGGGGGCTGAGCTACTCCATTTTCCCTACAATTAGGAAAGACTTAAGAAGTTGAAGTAATTTACCTAAGGTCACCATTAAGAGACAAAACTGGGATTGGACCTAAATCTCTCTGGCTTGTAGAAACTAGAATAGGGTTAATTAGGAGAGATAAGAGAGAGTAATCACCAGCCTTAAACACTTTTCAGTCACATAGAGCTAGCTATCTGTACAGATGAATTGCAGTTCCTACATATTTTGCAGCCATCCCAAGCCGGGTAGATTCACCGTTGGTTCTAGAAATTCAAAGGTGAATTATGGAGCCCTTGGCATCATTTTCACAGGTTTTAGTGGCAAGCAGGGGAAACAAGCCATCAGGGAGACAGCAGCCTGAGTCCCCTGTGAATATATGCTCTTTTCTCTGGGCTTTCTCTGTCATTCTCTTGTGGTCTCTTCCTCTTGTAGCCGCGTGCCTTCTCTGAGGAATACCGCCCTTATATCCCTGACCTCTAGGCTGAGGTGTGCACACTTGCACATGGGCACACACCCAAGCGCAGGTGTCCCTAATCAGGCATGCTGGCCCCACACCCGTGCACCCTCTACAGTAACAAGATCAAGGCTGCAGGTGATAGCAGAGTCCAATGGTGTAAAAGCCTGACCAGCTTCATTTACCCTACACTGCATTCACATGCCTAAGCCTCTGTGCTCTTTTCTTATATATTGTATCATTGTTAACTCAGATGATCATACATACATAGATATGTACACAGACATACATAGATTCATAGGCATAGATTAAAAAAAGAAGAAACAGAAATTTCTTATAATTACAACCCCAATCAAAATCTCTTAACTGTTGGGAAAAGAAGAAAAGGAACTTATGAGAAAAGACTTTTCATGTGGTGGGTTGACAGCTGAGTCACTGAGGTTTCCCTGAGGTTCTCTGAGCTTTGAACGTATGCATTTTAGCTACCATTACCACTGTGGTCTTAAGGAATATAAATCCTTTTTTCATACCAGAGTTCGGTTTCTCACAAAGACCAGGATAGCTGATTCAAATAGGGTTTTGCTGAAGTTGTGGGCAGATTTAAAAGTCTTGGCTCAGGAAAAACCTGGCATTTGAGAATTTGGCTGACAGTGCCTTACACAGACTAGATCTTCCCAGAGCTGCACAACTGTTGCTCTCTCTCCTGAGGACCACACAGCATCTCAAAGTCCTGAGCCAATGAGCAAGTTTTGCCAAGTTGGCCTTCTGCTGGATTCCAGGCCTGACTCATTGCCCCATCAGCATTCACCTGGCATCAGAGCCTAAGGCCAGCACTCGGGCACACTGGGACAGGAACACGTGGTGGCTAAGGAGGCTGCCCTCATGGTGCATGGTCTTTAGGGCAGGCAACAGATACACTTAACTGCTGACAGATGGCAATAGGTGCTGGGAAGGAATTAATGAAGAATCACTGAGAAGGAAACAATGAAGTATCACTGAGAAGGAAACATTCTCTGAGATCTGGAGGTTGAGAAGGAGCCTTTACCATGAAAAGCAGCGAGAAATTCATTCCAGGGGGAAAGTCCCTGAGGCAAGAAAGAGAAATAGCAAGAAGGCCATGGTGGCTGGAGTGCAGAGAGTTCTATACTCCAGGAAAGATGGCAGGATGTAGAGAGACAGGTCAAATTAGAACACACAGAGTCCCAGGGTCTTGCTCACTGTGAAGAGAAGCATCTGTTGGATTTGAGGCTGGAGTGTGATGTGGTATGAGTTACATGTTAGTGCTCCCTCTGGCTGCTGGGTGGCATAAGATTAGTCACTGAAGCTATTTTCCAAAAGACAGCATGGTATGGGAGCAGTAAAAGACATGAAGAACTCTGACACTTATTTTAGAGGTAAAATGCAGACTTGCTGATGCAGTAGGAGGGGTGTGTCCTGCCTGTGATTCATGTGGCCAGTGGCCCTCTCCTTCCTCAACAGTTCATCCTGCCCACTAGTGTGTAGCTCACAGATCTCAACAGGACAACCATGGAGAACACAGAGGATGACCACCTTCCCCCGTACCCTCTTCCTGAGAAGCCTGCACTCCTGGAGGAGAGGAGGGAGGAGCTGTTTTACCCAAGGAAAGACTGAAGGCACTGGTAGATGTGTATGTGCCAAGTCTGGAGTGGTCAGGGAAAGGCACGCAGGGTCCCCAGACGAGAAAGTAAACTGAAGGGAGGGCCTTTAAGGAGTAGATTTGGCTGAGTCACCTCCCTCCATGCCCATCAATGGAATGCCAGCAGTATAATTAATAGTATAACAGCAGTATATATTATATATACCATATATAATACATATAGTACATTACAGTAGTGATATAAATATAAACTGAATGTATTGCACTTGCACCTGCTGTTACTAACATACTTATCTGATGGGCAACAGGGGCTGCCCACAGGACAGCAGACAATGCCGGTTCCTGATAGTACAGAGTGAGGGGTACATGGGGCTTAGGGAAGGAGGGTGCCTACAGGAAATCCTTCACGGAGGGAATGACTTTTCCAGCAGCTACCCAGGACAGACTGGTGTGCTGGGGGTGGCAAGCGCCTCTCCTTCACTCCTCGCCATCCTCAGTATTTCTATACTTCTGCCACTCTGCACTAGAATCAGCTTCGGGATGATAATGCCAGGGTGGGAGGGGGCAGCACTAAGGCTTTCCCTCACACATTTATCCCCTAAGGTGAGGCCAAGTGTCGGGCAGTTTGCAGGACGCGCCCCGGGAACCTCGGGAGCGCTCGCGGGCGTCTGAAACGGCTCGGAGGCGGCAGCGGCTCCCTTCCCTAGCCCCACTGAACCCCAGAAGCAACCAATGAAGTCCGCGGATCCTGTGTGCTCGGTTGCCCCCAATTTTGTTCGTGCCTGCTACTGGACTTTTCCAGACACTTTCTAAAGCCTTTGGCCTGGTCCCTGACTCAGCCCTTGGCCCCTCGTCCCGCAGAGCCCCTGCCCGCGGGGGGCGCGGACGCCGGGACGTGGGTGCGCGAGTCTCGGGAGTCGCGGCAAGAGATCCCCGCGCGCAGCGGGCCGAGCGCCTCCCCGGCCGGGGTGCGGGGCTGCTCGCGGGATCCCCAGGCTGCTCGCGGGGTGCCGGGCTGCTCGCGGGGTGCGGGGCTGCTCGCGGGGTCCCGGGCTGCTCGCGGGGCCCCGGGCTGCTCGCGGGGCCCCAGGCTGCTCACGGGGTGCCGGGCTGCTCGCGGGATGCCGGGCTGCTCGCGGGGTCCCCCGGCCGCCGCCTCCCCGCCAGGAAGCGCCAGGGCGCGCCCCGGCCTCTGAGGGCGCGCGGGGCGGAGGAGCGCGCGCCCCGGCTCTGCTCCCGGCGCTGTCGCGGGGTGCGCCGGCCGCGTTCCCTTTGGGTCCGACGCTGCGCCGGGCGCGAGCGGCCCAGGGCAGCCCGGGGTCCCCGCGCCGCGTCCCCGCCCCGCCGCCGGGGCCGCGCGCCTGCGTCAGCGTCCCCCGCCCCCCCCCGGACGCGCCGCCCGCCGGCCAGCGGGGTTCGGGCCGCCCGGCAGCCGGCGCTGGGGGCGAGCGGGCGCCGCGCCCCTCCCGGGGGCGCCTGGCCGGGGTTGGGCCGCGCGCGGCGGGCGGCGGGCGGCCGGGAGCCTCCTCCGCGGAGCCCCAGAATGTCGGCGGACGCGGGGCGGCCGCCGCCCGCCCGCCCCTCGCCCGCCGACGGCGGCCCCGGCTCGCGCCCCCAGTCGCCGGGCGCGCCCCCCGCCGCTACCCCCGAGCCCCGGGCCGCGCCGCCCCCGAGCCTGTGGCTGGAGCTGGGGGCCGCCGGCCGGAGCGCGCCGCCCTGCCCCAGCGAGTCGAGCGGGCCGACGAGCGGCGACCTGGGCAGCAGCAGCAGCAGCGGCGGCGCGGGCAGCAGCAGGGGGCTGTCCCCCGGCTCCGACTCGGACAGCAGCGGCGTGGTGTGCGGGGGCCGCGGGGGCATGCGCGGCGCCCGGTCCCGCTCCTGGAGCCTGGAGAGCCTGCACTCGGCCACCGCCGGTAAGGGCGCCCCCCGCGCCCCCCGCGCCCCCCCGCGCCCCCTGTACCCCCCGCGCCCCTCGGCGGCCCCCGCGCCCTCCGCAACCCCCGGCGCCCCCCGCCCTCCCCCGAGCCGCGCGCCCCGCGGCCGTGGCCTCTCCGTGCCAGTTCGTTCTCGCTCCCCCTCCCGGTGCCCTTCTCCTCGGCTTCTCCCCGCTGACTGCTCTTCTGTTTTAGGAGGCTCCCCCGGACTCCCCCACCCTCTCCCGCCGTCCTTGGCCACTGCTGCCTCTGGGCTGCGCGGGCTCCCCGCGACCGCCGCCCCCGGGGGCCCGGAGCCGGGCGCGTTAAGCCCGGACCCCGCGCGTGAAGGTGAGGCTGGATCCGGCCCCGCCTGCCGTGCGGCCCGAGTCCGGCTTTCGGAACCGCCCCCGGGGCTGGACCGCCGCGCAGAGCCGGGTGGACTCCCTGGATAAGGGGTCCCCGAGTCAGGGTGTCTGGTCAGATATCAGGAGCGAGGCTCCCAGCCCCGCGAGGGCCTGACTCTCGGCGTCCAGAGCACTGTGCCCCGAGGCGTGCTGGCGCTGGGGCCCCCGCCCCGGGCGCCTCCCTTCGGCCGTGCCTCTGCCTGGAGGGCTGAAGTCCGCACGCAGGGGAGGAAACCCGGATTCCTGATTAAGCAAGGCAGCCCAGAGTGGTTTTATGAATGGTGCCGCCTACCCCTGGCTGGTTGCTGCGCCGGATCCCTGATGTTTACCTCATACAAACACTCCGCTAGTTTTCTGGGGGCCCCCTTCAGAGGGAGCTGTGAGGAAAATAGGTGCTTCCCGGGGATAGAAGCGCAGGAGGTAGTGCACCTTTATGCTTCTGGGATGGCGAGGGATGCAGCCTGTGAAAGCCCAGGCCCCCTGAGGGGGCGCGGAGGTGATATTCCAGAAACTGGGTCAAAGCAGCAGAGCCCAGCGGCGTGAGCAGAGCAGGGATCCAGGCAGTCACAGGGCCGTCCCCTCCCCCAGGACGAGCCCAGGCCCTGCTGGGGAGGCTGATGTTAAAGATGGCCCCCAGCCCAGCCGGTTGTGAGAGTACCCTGAAGGGCTTCCAACTCTGGGAAGAGCCACTAGGTTTAGGAAAGGGATGGAGAGGATGCCTGGGCCTCTGCATTCAGGCCTCGGTGACTCTCATCTGCTCCACTCCCCAGCCAGCATGAAACAGAGAATGATACAGCTGTTGGTACCGCCTCCAGCCAAACGTTTTCCAGAATTCTGCACTGATTCCCTCCCATCCGAATTCCACTGAAACTGTCACCTCTCTCGGGGATTAAATATTGATAGAACCCACCTTGAGAAAAGCAAAGTAGATAATACTTTACATGGGATTTTAAGCAAGCTGCACTGGTGGGGTGCTGCCTGTGCACCGAGCAGAGCCCCATCCTTCCAGGGGTGTAGCCCTGTGAGGGGTGCACACCATTCGCTGTTGGCCTTGCATCAGCTCTTCCCACCTTATGTTGCTTAAAACCCAGACCTTCCATTACAGGGGCAGCTGAGTCCCTTATGGAGCAGTCTTCTGGGCCATGACTTTTACCTTTGCTACCAGCCCCCCAACATCCCTCCCTCAGCCCCAGATTTCATGCACTTGTAGCTGTTATTTCCAAATCTTAGCAAAGTTGAACTGATCTAGGGAGTGCCTGAATCTCTGCTCTGTTCACCGGGGGCAGAAGTAGAATATGGAGAGGGAGTCCATGGAGGCACCCTAAGGACTGCCCTAAGCCTCCGTGGGACTATTCCCAGTCCCAGTGGGGGCAGGTATGCTTTCCAGCTCTGAAAATGGAAGGAAAACCATTTTGGGCAGCTGTATCATAGAGTCACAGGGGAGGCATTTTAAATGACCTCTTCATCCTTTACCTGTTCCCATCCCTCCACCCTCTAGTTCCTGCCTCGTGTTGGGAGACCCTGTTTTGTAGTGTGAAAAGGACTTCCATGAACCCTGTAAAGCTGTGTGAGTCTGTGACGTGATCTCTCAGTAGGATTCCTGGAGAGAATTGAGCCCTGATGTCCTAAGACACCCAACGTATGCCACTCTTTTCTAGAATGGTGCTAGCTATTTGCCATTCTTGGGAGGAATTCAGAAAATGAGCACCAGATACAGATTGTCTTTACATGTGTGATTGAGGTGAGGAAATCTGGTTGGGAAGGTTGCAATGACGGATAACTTAATGGGAATAGGAAAGGGAAATTAACTTGCTGAGCATCTTCTGTCAGCCAGGAAGGATCCCCAGCTTACCTCAGGAGCCATGAAAAATCCAATGAGGTAAATAATTATTGTTATCTTACAATCTAGATAGTAAAGTAATCTCAGAGAGATCCTGCTAGGCCATGCCTCTCCGGCCCTTCAGACCAGGGCCTGTGTGATATGGTGGGGCCCTGGGCTGGGTCTGAAGTGGAGCTTGTGCTGGGCCTGATGAGGGAGGGCAGCGTGTCAGGAGGTTGGCGCGTTGAGGTAATGTCTTGGCTACTTGCACGCTCACTGTTGTCTTTATTCAATAATCACAGTTTCGGAGGGGCGGGGGTTCCCGGCCACCCTATTGTCAAAATGAGGACATTGAAATCAAGATCTTGCCTCTTTTCTTACCAACTCTAAGGGTCCATGATTCCAGTCAGAGACATTGTGGCGGGAACTCGGCGGAGAACTGGTGTGCTTCTGTGTGACCAGTTTTTTGAAACTTAAGACAAAGGACATGTGCATTTAATTGAACTGTATTGATCTCTTTTTTTTAATTTTTTTTTTTAGATTTTATTTATTTATTTATACAAGCACTGGGTACAGTCAGAAGCGCGGGAGGGTGAGAGAATTCACCAGAGCCAGATCAGGGAGCAGAACAGGCAGACTGACGGAACACACTGCTGAGGGGAGCAGCAGGTGGCAGGAGAGGTCTGAGCACCATGTGGGACTGGGGATCGAACTGGTGCTGCAGAGGCTGCAGGCAGCTTCGCAGCCCAGCGCTCAACCGCTGCACCACAGGGGAGGCCCTATATTGATATCTTAAGAGAGTTTAAGCATTACCAGTAAAAGATCCTTAGTACAACTTATTTTTAGTTGTCATGTTTGTGAGGGAATATGTTGCTGGACATTTCTGAGGTTGTCAAAACTAGAGAGGCTAGTTGAGAGTGGATGGCTGCTTACCCGTAGACAGAGTTAGCCGGGAATTCTAGCAGAGAACTGTAGACTCTCCTTGTTTCTGAACGACTTCTTGAATTGTGACTGTCTCAGGTTGTCACTTCCCACTGAAATCTCACATAGATCCTGGTGTGGTGAGGGTGTTCCCTAGAGGCAGCATAAGATGTAGCTGACAGGCGACCTGCCATGGCTCTCCCTTCTGCCCCACTATTCTCATTGCCCGCGCCCCACCCGCCCTCAGCTTGGCTTTCACACTGCTGACACTTGGATTTCTAAATTCTTGTTCTGAATCCGTTGTCTGATTGACTTAGTCTTGATTCCGGCGCTGGGGGCTGACAGCTCTGCTAACTGTTCTTTTCATGGTCAGCAATGTATGAGTTCCTCTTGGGAGAGGACCACCCTACTCCCACTTTCCTCTGAAAGCTCCCGCATGTCTTTCCCGCATGGCTTATGTGGGAACCAGACCTAGGAGGAGGTTAGACCTCTTTTGCCATCACCATTATAAAACTTACCCTTTTCCCGGCACAGCATTCAGTACTGGAGGTAGACATCATACAAGGGCCCTGCCCGTAAGGAAAGCACAGATTATGACAGTGCTCTGATAGAGGTCAGCCCAGTGGGGTGATGTGTGTGTGTGGGGAAGGGGACTAAGCCACTCTTGGTGGAAGATTCTCTAGAAGGACTTACAGAGCTGAGAAGAGCTATTGTGCTTACAGTTTGTTACAGCAAAAGCATATTGATTAAAATCCAATACGGCAGAAGTTGCATAGGGCAGAGTCCAGGAGAAACCAGGCACAAGCTTCCAGGTTTCAGGCAGGTAGCGAAAGCATCAGAATAAAATTAAAAACTACCTGTAAAAGACAGAAAGTGGCTGTGGTTAACTTATTACTGATAATTTTTAAGGTGAAAGATGTGATGGGAGCTCATAATAAGAACAGTGCAATGGACTAGGACGTTTGGTTACTTCTGCAGCATGCAAAACAAAATAATAAAGTCAATCCCAAAAATTTAGACCTCATAGTTGTAAACATAATGACTAGCCCTATTTTCCAAGAAGATAGCATTACATCTAACTTGTTAAAGTGGATGAACATAATCTTTACAAATAAAAAATCCTCCTGATAGACAATAATCCTGACAAAATTATATTAGGAATAGACTGTGCATACAGCTAGAATAGACAAAGAATATCTATAAAGAGATTCAGTCCCAAGCTTCTGTGTATAAATTAAACTCCACAGATAAGTGATATGAATCCCCAGTTAAAAACCTCAGGCCTCTTAATTGCTAGATTCAAGAAGTGAAACTGCAAGAAAGTTAGCTTTCAAAAAATAAGTGAATTTATTGTATGGGGACTATAAAATAAATATTTAAAAAAGAAAAAAATAAGTGAATTTATGACTAATAACACTTTTGTATGATGTCAGGCACATGGTCAAAGGAAGGGCATTAGCAATTCTCTAAGAACTTCCCATACATCCTACCACTCCCAAAGTATTCTTAGTAATAGTTCACCCTTCAGATTTCACCTAGGGAGGGCTCTCCTCTCACTTGACACCTCTTCCCGTTCAGCTCTGCAGTAGTCATGTAATCAAATAAACCTGACTATTTCTACCACTTGTCTGTTTTTCAAGGGGGAAAAAGGAAACACTTTTTGATTTTTCACTGTCTTCTGGGAAATGGTAATGACAGTTTTAGGCGCCAGTGTTATCTTTTAGGATTTAATTTTGAAAGGCAAAATATCAAAAGTTGCCAGATTTAAAATACTGAGACAATATTGTGGGTTACTAAGAACATGACTTTGGTAGCTGTTGAGCCAAATTAGCAGTGAGATATTGCTAAAATAA